AGAGTGTTTGGTGTGCTCAAGGAATAGGTAAGAGGGTCAGGGCAGCTGCCATGACAAGAAATGAGATTAGCGATCACAAAGGGCCTGCAGGCCTTTAGCTTATACCCCAAGCAGGATGGAAAGGCTTGGGAGGGTTTTGAAGTGGGAAGCGATATGATCTGACGCATGTTTCCATTACATTGCTCTTGTTGCTATTTAAGGAAGACACCCAATGAGTGGGGCAAGGGAAGGAAAAACAGGAAGAGCAGAGAGGAACCTATTTCGGGATAATCCAGGCAGATGAAGGTGACGAGGACCAGGGTGGAGGGCACAGGCGGTGAGAAGTGGCTGGATTCCGGGCTGGTTCTGAAGGAAGACCTGGCAATACCGCTTGGAGGGTCTTTGAGGATGGGATCTGATAACACTTGGAGGGTCTTTGAGGATGGGATCTGGCTTTGAGAGGAAGAAGACTCCAGGAGTTTTTGACTCAGCAACCAGAGGAGTGGACACTCCTTACCGAGCTAGGTCAGGAAGACGGAGGTAAGAGTCCCTGTTCAGCCTTTTAAAGTTTAAGATCCTTTCTATACCTCCACTGAAGATGAGGGAACAGACAACTGGAGTTTGGAGTTGGCATTTCCGGGGAGAGGTTCTGGTATGAAGATGCAACATTTGGGAGTTGAAACCAGGCAAACAGTATAAAGACATGGACCCGGATGTGAATCTAACTGGGAAAGGGGTGTGAAGACAGAACCCTGGGGCTCTTCATCTGTTAGGAGAATACTCAGCAATAACAATAAAGGAGAAATGGGGAAGGCAGAAGAACTGAGCAAGAAAATGGTCCAGGAAGCCAGGGAGTAGAGAATTTTAAGAAGGGTGGAGTGATGGACCGCGTCATCTCCGAGAGATGATATGGATGGTGGGTTGACCACAAAATTTGGTATTTTAAACTCCCACATACTTGTCTATCATTCCAGCATAACTCGATGTCTTCCAGCTTGAGAACCACCCTCCATGTGCCAACTTTACCCCATCACCTCTCAAAGCTCCTGCCCACTCTCCTCTCTTCCTCCGCTCATCACCACAGTACCTGAAGAGTTGTCTGGCTGTGTTCTCGCCCTGGGGCTCCGGCTGGGAGCATGCTCTCCCCTGCTCTCCCAATCCTTTCTTCTACAACTTTACCGACTGCTCTACTGGTCAAGGTAACAAAGCCTAGCTGAGCACTTATTAACACCTCAAACGGGAGGCTGAGCTGGAAGACTATAGTTTACAGTCAGACACAGCTGAGTGTGAGTCCCATCACTGCCACTTTTGCTCAGTTATTCAAGACTCCTCATCCATAAAAAGGGCTTAATACTAGTCACCACTTCACAGGGCACTTGTGAGGGCTAAATGACGCAATGTAAGCACCCAGTCTGGTGCCTGGCACAGGGAAGACCTCAATGGGCTGTTACCGATGCTTCACATTCCTGTGTTCACCTTCAACACTAAACGTTTCTCCCTGTTCTACTACCTTTCACTGGTTGAATGTGTTTTTTTCTGGGGAAGCTCTTTTCCTTCCTCATTTCTCCCATTCCCTTGACTCATGGCCCCAATTTAAGAACAAAGAGCAGAGAAACAGGATTGTGTGTTAGGCACTGGGCTGCTAACCACAAGGTTGGTGGTTCAAAGTCACCAGCCACTACATAAGAGAAAGATGAGGCTCTCTGCTCTCATACAGATTTAGTCACAAAGAACCCTTATAGGGTTGCTTTGAGTTGGAATCACCTCAATGGAAGCAGACTTTCTGCTAGTAACCTTTTGTGTCTCTAGCTAGCCTTTTATAAGCCGTGTGGTAGGTTTCACCAGCCGCTCGGAGGGAGAAAGATGAAGCTTTCTACTCCCGTAAAGATTACAGTCTCAGAAACTCGTGAGTCTGCCCCACCCTTTCCTACAGGGTCACTAGGAGTCCAAACCGACCCAATGGTAGTGAGTCGATCTGGACTCACTGTCTATCCAGCAAGGGTCTCTCTTTGCTGTCTTTCTCTTTAATATGCATTTATGATAAAAATAATTACCCGAGAAAGTCCACTACAGGGCTTGTCACAAGTCAGCACACAGAAATCTAACACAGCAGGAGGATCTGCTAACATGAAAACCGAAGAAAACGTTTCTTTCCCAATTTGTACGATGGGGACCCAGCCAAGTCCAAGCCAGAACATGTTCTACAGCCTCGGGACTTACCTCGATATACGCCGGCTCGGTGCCAGCAGGTAAGATGTGGGGCTGCCAGTCCTTAGGTGGCTTTGAAAGGTACTTGGAATCTGTGACAACCCATTTGAGCCGAGGCCAACCTATATCAAATGCAAAGTTAAAATTGAATTGCCTAAGCCATCAGGCAAGGAGCTCACGTCGAGCTGGTCATTTTAAATACCAAGAGATCACATTATAAAACCTGAGGCGCCTGGAAAAATCAGAAACAGACAGGTGTTAAGTTTTTTGGTGGCAATTATACCTTCTTTCAAAAGTAAAATTGTTCCACATACTAATTCCAGGCCTTGAATAATTTGGAGATGTACTTGACAGTGGAAGTCCACTAGGGTTAGTGGTCTACTCTGTCTCCCCAGTTAGCTTTGGTATACGGAGTGGAAGTTTTCCCAACCATCCGCATCACAGTGAAGAGTGTGGGCTGCGGAACCAGGCAGATATGGGTTCAAATCACCCCTCTGCCATGTATTAGCCGTGACTCTGGATAAGTGACTTAACCTCCCTGCGTGTGTTTTCGAGTATAAAATGGGGAAAATACCAGTACTCCCAAGACTGTGAGTTAAATTTTAAAACTACGGAAGTCCCTTCGCTGTTATTAAACTAAAAGAGGAAGGCAGGCGCTCAGCTTTCAATTTTGATTGATGGTTTGGGTACACACCTTTGAACTGAACAATTTCTCCATTCTGGGTTTTTGGCAGACCTTTCAGACAAACCTCACTGGTAAGAGCTAAGGCAACACCACAGCTTCCCAGCAAGAAGCCAATCTGCTGACCTCCAGCGTCCTGTGGAGGGAAGATCAGGAGCACATTAGGGGACCAGACGGGGCACACCTGTGTCCCCACACCTAGCACTCAGTACTGTGCTGGCCGCTCACACAACCCCACTGAGAGCTGGCAACCATCTGCAGTGACGACAACGTCCTTCCAACAAGACTCTGACTTCCTGGGCACAAATCGAGTACTCTATTAAACCGACAATTCCAGTGATGGATTTTAACCGGTCATATACAGCCTAAAGGCCGGCAATGATCCTCTCTGGATTAATCTGGGGCACATGAAAAGGGAGGCTAACAGGCCCAAGATGCCATGCCATAACCTCACCCCCAAATCCAAATGCCAAGCACTTCTGGCCCGGACGAAACGAACAATGAAAATGGACAGCAAACGTCCGAAGCCACAAGGAATGTGCACAGGGGGGGTATCCACATCAGCATGTGCTTGGTGTCTCTACTCTGGAGGGCGCAGCAGACGCAGAAGGCACAGGCGAAACGTCCCCATTAGGCTGGTCTCTGAGAAGTGTCGACCTGAAACCACACCAGCACTGCCAACTGAAGGGAGTCTGAGGTTTCCTGAGCATTCTAAGGGGACCAGGTCACAGCAGTCACCAAGTCAAACACATGACTGGTTGGGTCGCTTCAGGAAAAAACATCATCTTTGCTTATAAATTTAGATCCTCTACCATATTCATCTGGAACACCAAGTTTTAGTAATAATAAATGGCAAACGAAAACTTGGGTCAAACAAGCTAAGGGAGAAATCATTCTGGCCAAGCATGGGCATTTGTTACATGAGTTCATTTCAGTAGGGAATGTGGTCCAAGTAAAATCCCAGAGTCTGTGCCAGTAACATACCATCACTGCCTTCTGCCATACTGGAAATCCTAGGTCTCGGGGATAGAGGAGCCCTGGTGGTGCAGTGGTTAAGTGTTGGGCTGTGGTCCACACGGTCGGCTGTTTGAAACCACGGAGGGAGAAAGACTGGACTCCCAACTCCCACAAAGGGTCTCGGAAACCCACAGGACGTCTATGAGTCGGCACTGACTTGAAGGCAGTGAGTTTGATTTGATTGAGGGTAGTTAAAAGCAAACTTCTGTAAAAGAAGGTCTTAACTATTGCCCACTTTAATTATTTACAGACTGAAGAGTAAGGCTCCTGATAAGTAGACCTCATTGCTTTCTCCGAGATACTATAAAAATTCTCTTAAGTTGGAAAACACTCTTTTGTATGAAACGTGTAACTAGTAACCAAAAACAAGCAAAGAAACTCACTGCTATGGATCTGATTCTATCTCATGGCGACCCTGGAGGATAGGGTTGAACTGCCCCTGGAGGTTCTGAGATTGTCCTTCTTTGCAGGAGTGGAAAGCCTCAGCTTTCTCTGGCAGAGCAGCTGGTGGTTTCAAACCTCTGACCCCGAGGTTAGCAGTCCAATGCATAATCGCCACCAGGGAGCCTCGCTAAATATTAACAATGGGGAAAACTTCTTTCTCTACAGCTTCAATGCTTATAGAAAGTGCAGCTGAGTTGCTTCAGAAAACGGTCAGGTTGTGTCTAATGCCATGACTGAGATACTACCCCATCCCTACCCCCACCCCCACCCCCTCAGACTCAGCACCATTACCTTTCTGGTAAGAGGTACCTCGATAGGCACTGGGATCACTTCCGCCAGGAGGCAGCCATAAAAAGCCACCATAAACATGACTGGATCGTTGTTGGGGTACACCAGGGCGACCTAAAATGCATAATGGCATTCAGGAGAGAGGGGTACACACCGGCCGAAGAGCTCATGTCCTTCTCTGCGCCCCGCGTTTATCATAAACACAACAAATCACGCGACATAGCAGCTATGTGCTCTGGAGGAAATTCAGTTGCTGAAGATGATGCACGAACCCAGGGATCTTTGTCCTGCCTGCGAGTCTGCTAAGAAGCACTTTGTGAGTTCTCATGCAATCAGGCTTCGTGAAAAGAAAGTTTCACTTCATTCTATTGGCAATCTAGGCGCAAGCAACTCGCTTCAAGTGGTAAGTTAATTTCTTCAGAAATCAAAGGTGATTTATGTTGGTGCAAGTCTGTTACTTTGGCTTGGCTGAATTGTGACCCCTCTGAACATGAGGGAGTTTCAAACAAGTGTGTGGGGAAACGCCGGTTATCTTTTAGTCCCGCTTTTCAGTGAGCTTTTCTGGCAGCCCCCCAGAGGTGCCATCCACCCTAAACCATCTGCGGCTCCAACCCGCTGGGGAACGGCTGCCTGTGTTGGATTCCTGGAGAGAATGCTGTGGGTCCATCGCGTTTAGGATCTAGGAAGCTAAGTGCAAGCTAGCCAACATGGAGGCGGGAAGAGAGAGGCTCCACCACATGAAGATGACTCTGAGGCAGAGCGCAGAAGAAACGAGGACCTTCCTCAGGGGCCGACACAGAGAAAAAGCCTTTTGCTAGAGCCACCAGCCTGAATTTGGACGCCTCGTCTCCTAAACTGAGAGAAAATAAATGTGTGCCTGCTAAAGCCACCCACTTGAGGTGTCCCATCACAGCAGCACTAGATAAAGAAGACACAGACAAATATCTGAAACTTGGTTACGTCACTGGACACTTGCTTCCAAGTGTTACTCCCAGAATTGCTGCAGTTCGGAGCCTAAGTATTAAACGTGCCTAGAGTTAACAACAGAAAAACAGGAAACACCGAGTCCACTGAACACGGGATGTAAGCTACTGATCTTCTTGCCCTCAAGTGTCCCTGTTGCTAGGTGGAATCAGACCACCTGCTTGGGGCTCAGGGCCGACTCACTCCCGTGTCTCATTTACAGCTAAAGCCATCCTCAAGGTGCCCTTTGCCAATCCAAAAGTATCTGCTAGAGCAGTGGTTCTCCACCTTCCTGATGCCGCCACCCTTTCATACAGTTCCTCATGCGGTGGTGACCCCCCCAGCCATAACATTATTTTCGTTGCTACTTCATCACTGTCATTTTGCTACTGTTATGAACCGGGCGACCCCTGTGAAAGGGTTGGTCAACCCCCAAAGGGGTTGCGACCCACATTTTGCGAACCGCTGTGTTAAAGGCTAGTGGAGGCAATTCTGTTCTAATGAGCAGGAAGACGTGTGTAGCTGGTTTATGTGCGCTTTATGACTTACCACTGAAAAAGGCGCCCATGTTCAATATTCAAAAAAGTACTGTTGGGTAGTAAAAAATCACCGTATTTAGGAAATCAGTAATTGGCCAGGTGTAGGGGAGGGGTTAGAAATGTCAAAAAAAAATTGGGGCGGGGGTAACATGTTACTTCCAATTCAGAAGAAATAAAACAATACTATTTTCTTCCTTTTAGCAGTAATATGACTCTCCCTGTGTTTCTAAATAAAACCAAGAAAATAGTTTTAAACATTTTTGGGGAGGACACATTGCAAAGAACAAAAAGTTCAAAGAATAAATAAGCCATTTGGTTGCTATTTTTGTCTAAACCACTGAAATACTCATTCCTGGAAAGACGTAAGCTTTTCTTTCCTCTTATCAGCACCTTCAGAGTATACTAGATAGCTCTTACAGGAAGGAACGTGAGATGCCCTTCAATAAGGGAAAGTAAAAATTACCACCTGGTATATTGTGCTAATGTGCACAGGAACACAACTACTGCCATTTCCCTGAGAATTTGAGTTCTCTGTAGATAATATTCCTGCTGTGCATGAAAAACCCCAGGCTGTGCATTTTAGAAAACAGTAGGAAGACACCACCTCCCCAAAACTACAACAAGAGAAAACAATTACCCTGTCTCCAGGTTTCAGCACAGGTTCATTTTTGGTCCCCAGTTTATTAAGCAGCGTGTAAGCTAACTTTAAGCTTCTGCTCCATAACTTTCCTGGAAAAAGAAATGAAGATCATAATTGGCAAAAAAAGAAGACAGCAACCCACAGACCGACCTCAGTGAGAAGGAAACCCAGTCCCTCCCCTTTGCCACCCAGATGTCCTGGCCCTACAGCTCTCTGTATGCTTACCACAGGCGCCCTGGGGGCGCAGGGGCTAGAGTTTGACTGCTCTGGTAACATGATCCTCACTGGGCACTCCAGACCTAGCTTCAATCCGGCCCTTGGTGACACAGGCTGCAAGCTGTAGGACAACTAGGACTTCAGACTGTCCTTTCGAGATGTACAACATTCTTCATGGGCCACCCCAGAAGGCTCTGACTTGGAAATGCCACTAAGCGAACTGGACTGTACCTTAAACTCACCTGTAGCAGATCTAAGGAACTGAAACATTCCTTTGGTGTGGGAAGAACAGGTGACTGCCACCTCCAGGTTATGGATCTGGAGGCAGTGGGACTCAGGTTCCGGCCTTCTGCTCTGAGGGTGCCCGAGGAGTGGCGAGCCACAGGGACTACCATACAGTTGATATCTGTATGCTCTCTTTGCGTCTGTGTGACATGTCTTAGCCTAGCATGGGTGACCATGCCTTTGTAAATGAGTGTTCTTGAGAGTTTTGTCCCATCTCCAATCCTCAATGTTTGCATAAATAGTGTGCCGTTGAGTTTTTCATGTGTACAGGTCAACAATCCAAGCATTTGGGTCTAAAAAGCTGTCCTATACACGTGTACTTTCCCTTTCTATACAGTATTTGAAATTCTATAGCATTGGCTAAATTAATGATACTATCAACAGAATTACCATGTGCCCCATAGGGAGGACTTATAATGTTTCCAAAAAAGGATAATGGCCTCTCCCAAGTAGACCAGGGACATGTATAAAACACAGATGCACGAATGGATTTTGAGCCCGCACTTAACTGTAGTCCTAATGTAGGAACAATTCGTTCTTACGGCCCGGCCTTACTTGACACCTGCCCTCTTGAAGAGATCACGGGAGACTTGGGTGCTCTAGCAAAGCATACTGAAGAAATCAGACGTTGCCTGGTTATCAGAAAGAACAGCACCTGGGTCTTAAAGACCTGGTGTCAAACAAGCAATCAGCCAAGGGCGGTGAAGGCCAAGGCCACACCGAGGAGGCACACCTGCTGTGTGTCCCAAGGCCTGTGAGTAATTAAACCTAACCAGGGGCGGGAACAGGTTTAGAGCTTCAGGGCGGAGCATCCAGTCTGTAGAAGGCGAAGGAGAGTGGAAGCCCCAAATCCACTTGCAGGCCCTCCCTGAGGTTAAGATTGGCACATCCCCTCTGACCAGTGGCCAGGGGTGTGAACAGCTTTGCTATCAGACAGGCTGCATTAGAAAGAGGACGGGTGCAGATGGAGTTAGGTTACAATTTTTGACCCATCTTGAATTTGTTCTAGTTTTTATTACTTTCTGTTATCCTTTCAATTGAGATTTTTATATGTTTCTTTGGATTATTATTTGGTTTTGTACGTTTTCCTCCACAGGAAATCCAGGATAGGCCAAGCTATAGAGATAATGACTGGATCACTGGTTCCTTGGGCTATGGCAGGGGAGGTGGGGAGAAATGGGGAGCTCATAATCACAATGAGTAGAAGGAAGAAGAAAATGTTCTAAAGCCGACTGCAGCGATGGCTGCACAATCCCTTTGAGTATCTTCAGATGACTGAATTGTAAGGTATGAGAGCTGTATGTACATAGAACTGTCCACATAAAAATACGTAAATAAAGAGTTTGGTTGTAACCAAAAGGGTGGTGACTGAAACCCACCAGAGGCTTCCCAAGCGGCAGACCTCGCCTTCTTTCCCTAAAGATCACAGCATACGGGACAGTCCCATTCCAGCACCGGGCTGGGGTTGCAGCGTCAATAGCAGCCTTGTCAGCCCCCCACAACCAGTTTACTAAAGCCAGTCCTGCCGCCCAAGAAATCACCACTAGATGCATATCCTCCCTTAGATCATCCTTCAATTTTTTCCTTAAGTAATCAGAATACTGACATGTTACTACTCGGATAAATTATGCAGTACAAATTAACACAATAATTTGATGGGCGGTCCCCAGACTTAAAATGGAGAGGGGAAAAAATGTTTTATCGCAGGACTGAAAAAAAGACTACTTCCCATCTAAGCTTTACTTGAAAGCAAAACACTCACAGAAGTGGTACATAAGTGATTTACATGCTGTCACTACAAAGCAAAGGTAAGATCCACGCAAGCAGACACTCAATACCAGTGTAATTCAGTGAAAACTGACACAAAAGGATAAACTCACCATATGCAACATGTCAATAAACTCACTGTATGCACCATGTGTAACCAAACATGCAACGCTTTGGCCAGCTGAGGGTTATAAGAATAAATTTAACGTGCAGTTTCTGAAGGGGATGCTAAAACCATTTGGCCGGGATGTGTGGGCGCTGATCACTCTGTTTTCTTATCCCATCCCTCCATTCCACCTTAGAAAGTCTTTCACTATGAGGACCGGTGAATGAGATTGCTACTTGACACAGATATGCTAATATCATGTGCAACTTAATGGAGTCATCCAGGGTTTAAAGTCATGTTGATCTACGTTTAATTCTTGAAATAAACACTTATTTTTCCTTTAAAATTATTTGGCTGGAGTGTAAGCTAGATGAAAATGCGTGGACTTTTTCATTAGAAAATGTTGTGTGCATTATAAGAAGCAGCGTGAAGCAAACGACAAAGATTTAAGAAGTCACCAGGTTCCGTTTTTAGATAGCGCAGATTTTCACCGCACACGTTAATTCTGCCCAAACATCTTTCAAAATCCCTCTTCTGACGTCAAAGCGTCACTGGACCCACAAACGCTCTCTCCTCTTGCTTCAGTCCTTCCAATATGAGCCAGCCTGCAGAGGCCAGGTGAGCGATGGGAGATATCTGGCCCAGTCTCACCTTACCTAGAACTGCAGCTGGTAGTAAATCATTTGAGAGAGCCATTGAAGTGCAATCATCAGAAAAGGCTAAGTATCAAGATAAAAATACTCGCTATGATGTTCTGAAGAGCTATTAGAGAGGAGGACCGGGGGCTCACCGTAGGTAAGAGTGCAAATGGGTTTTCCCGTCACGTCCAGCCCGGTCAGACAGGGGCACTTGGCTTGCGTGGTGCCCCAGCGCTGCAGGGCAGACTCCAGAGCAGGGGGCCAGTTACAGATGACTCCTAGTGGCTCTCCCTTCACGGGGGTCATCTGCCGTCCCTCAGGCTTGGGCTGGTTGGGGTCTGGCTGAGGTACTGGCAGAAAACAAACGAAATCCCAGCAGGTTGCAAAGACAAGGTTTGCGGTATGTACAAGTATCAATGACTGTCACAGGTAAAAGTCACTGTGAGAACACGGGACATAATCAAACACTTAAGACCTCAAGGGCAGCAGATGTACAGAGGGTTCAGGAGAGGAGGGGGGATGGAAACGGGAAACCGGGGGGTCGGGGCTAGGGGTGGTCCACTGAGGGGGTTGCAGTGGGTGGTGAGTGGAAACCCAATGTGTGCAGATTGTTAAAGGTGAAAATTGAACACTTGCTCTGTAAACCTTCGCCGAATTCACAAAGTTTGGGGGGAAATTAAAAAGGAAGGAAATGGAGATGGCACCCCACAAACTGGGCTTCATGTTTCCACAAAACCGTGAAATCCTTTTCAATGTGTTTTACACAACAAATATATCCTGACCCTTCTCGGATTACAAATGCATGTCACTGTTGGGTCAAGCACAGAGCCAGCGAGAAAGAGGAAGGCTCTCACCGAGCCGAGTTGCCAGTGATGCCAGCAACGGGCTCACACATAACGACCCTGAGGACTAGGCACGCGCTGTTCTCTTGCAGAAAGGGCCCCATGAGTTGGCACGGACCCGCGGGCACCTAACAACAAGAAGCCATAAACAGAAATTCATCTTAACTTTGTATGTTAGGTTACTTTTGACTTCCTGCTGCAAAAGGAGGCTGAGCCTGGATCTAGCCTACAAATGCATCCACTACTCTGAACAAGTCCGAGGTGATCAGGCGCCCAACGCAAAAACGGACCACAAGGCTACCCAGGCTTCTATTAGACCTACTCATTAGCTAGCACCAATAATTATCAAACGGTCCTTCATTTCAACTATACTCCGGCTCATTACTCCCCGCCCAGCCTTTCCTATTTAAATTCTAGATATCTTGTGATTTCATTCATAAAGATTTTTTTTTAAAATCATGAAACAACTGACCATTATGTCTATCAGTGAAGCCTTTCCTCACCACACACAGGAGCTTGTGTCCCCCTCTATGGACTCTCTGTACTAATGGAGACACATTTATTGCATGTATATATTTCTGCACTATTCTGAGCTGTGAAAAAGCAAGAATTCTTCAAACTCTCTGAACCTTTTAATAGCGTCTCTCCAGAATGCAGGCATTTATTTATATGTTGACTGGCTGGTTTAACTAGAGGGCCGTGCTATATCCAAACAAACAAAAAATGGATCTTTAAGTTGATTGCAGTGATGGTTACACAGATCTTTTTGATATACTTAAGCCATTCGGGGGTGGGGTAGGGAACTGAGTACAATTTTGAGTCTAATTTTAAACCTATATCCTTCTGCGATAAAGTCACATATAAGCATCTTTTTAATATTATGTAAATTATTACATAATTCAAACTTCAAAAAGTTCATGGAAATTTTTGATCATCTTTTAATTCTATTTTCCCGTGTACTTTTTGAAGCCCTTCCTATCAGGGGTGGTTCCTAATTGCAAAGCGCATATTCCCACTCAGGGACTAGTGCTGTGCACCATAGTCACTTATTGCCTTTCCCTTCCCCTCCCCCCACCTCTCCTCCGAGATCAAGTGGAGAGAATCCTTGGGGAAATGAACAGAGAACGATGAACCCCTGGAAGCCAAGGACCATGCCTATTCACCCCTGTAGCCCATGCTCCCCAGCATTATGGTAACTGTTGAAGAAATACGTGCTTAATGAACGGTGACCAACTCTATGGCATTACTACTACTACCTTCCACAATTTCTTCAGAGTCATCCACGAAAAATTCCTTTAAGGGAGGCCTTTTGGGTCGTTTCAGAGTGTTGAGAAGCTGCTGGATTTTTGTGGATACTCTGCTACTGACAGGCACACCTATAAAAGAAAAGACGTTAAAATGCACTACGTTTACAGATATTTTAGGTCCTAACTTCCTTTGGGAGCTTTTGTCCCTGATAATGTCTGGCTTGGCCCACAGTCTCATACTACTTTCATTCGGCCAAATGAGTACAAAGATACACACGGTAAGTGGTACTGATGAGAGAGCCAATTTCGTGCTATTACTAACACACCGCTTATGAATGTCATTTAACTGCCAGCCACTCACAGCAATGTTTTTGTCCCAAGCGTCTTTCAGTAGGACAAGTCAAGTCCAACCATTGTACAGACTGTCAACGGGGACACCGGAGGCAACTTCTTGGTGGTGGTCCCACAGTCACATAGGTAGGTCTGCAAAGACTGAGTCTGTCGGGCTACTTCTCTCGCGAATTTCCCCCACTCAATGGAATTTCCCTGTTTCACTACCAAAAGCTTTCCCTACCGTCGGCTGTATCCATGAGGCTGGACCTGTTGGATCCTTTGTGCATGCCTTTGACTATTCCCGAAGGGGGCAGGTCAATGTTTGCTGGGCGTATCGAGGAAGAGGAGGAGGAGGAAGAGGTAGTTGTAGTGACATCAGGGGGAGCAGAGAAATTCTCTGAGGGGAGAAGACATCATTTAGAATTACATTTCAGTTGCAGTAGAAACAGGAATCTTTAAAGCTTTGCCTTTTTAAGAAGGAACAACGTTATACATGTAGGCATTTAGCTCTCAGAAAACAATCTTTTAAATCGAATGGTACTAGCCGGCTACAACAAGATAATAAGAGGTTAAGCCAGGCATGTCGGCTTTTCAAAATTATTATTTTCAAGAACTTGGGTAGCTTTAGAAAGATCAAATCACTTAGCAAAAGTTTATCAACCACGCTGTTTTCTAGACGGAAAGGTTGGTACATAGGCAGTGTTTTACATCCATCATAATCAAGTGAAAGCTATGGTGAGTGATCTCAAAAGGTAACCAACGGGACGATGGTCATATGATGGGCTCCTCATAAATTTGTCCATGATTAGGTTGATTTACCTATGTGTCCCCTTTGACCCAGTCACAAATACTGCCTTGCTTCAGTGTGCTTCAGTTTCACAGAGAACATCGGTATCTATCAGGGGCCCACAGGTGGCGTGGGTATACTCAACGGGCAAGGCTCTTGTTATGCTCGAAGCAGTGATTCAACAGAGCTACTGTATCCCACTTTATGCAGGGATTCTTAATAAAGGGAGACTGAACGGAATTATGTTGGAAGAGATCTGCAGGAAAGAATATTAAAAAATTTAAAAGAAACTATCTAGAGAAATAAGAGGAAGAAAAAATGAGAGGAAATCAAATGTATAATAATGAATAACCTCTCAACACTATGAAAAAGGAAAAATAAAATCTCAAATAAATTTGAGAGTAGGGCCCCTCTGTGTCCCCAAAGACCATATAATTACTAGTTTAATGGCTTTTAAAAGTTTAAGCAGATTATCACAAGCACATTGTAGGATACTTTTCTGTTGGGCAATTTGGCAAACAGGCATTAAAAATGGACAATTTCATTTGGCCCGGCAGTTCCACTCACAGGAAACCATCCGAAGAAAATAATCAGACAAATGCATAAAGTCGTGTGATCTACGGTACTCCCTCTGAAGTTCTGAACGATCACGAACGACTGGGAAATGCTGGAACTCCCTAAAGAGGGCCTGACTAAAAACAGATGGCTAAAAAGGGGGCCTGGCGGAAGGAATCAGGCCACAGTCACAGGACGGCATTCTCTGAAACCTTGCGAAGAGCCCAGTTCTCTCCTGATGATGTCACAGGTGCACAGTGGGACACTGCTCAGGAGCTACGTAGGTGAGGCATATTAGATGTGGAACAAATCCCTTTGTATAAGAGCCCAGCCCCTATATGCTCATATGTAAACAGGGTCTAGGAGGAGCTCCAGTAAAATGGCATCCTGTGGAGGGAATGGTGGGCTGTTTGTTTCCTTTACCTACACTTAAAAAATTTTTCTATTAGGAACACAAATTATTATTTCTGCTACAACAAATATCCCCAAACTAACAATGTTGGATAAAGTGGCTTCTGTCAGTCACTGAAGCAATCTTTTTATTTATTTATTTTTTTAAGCACATCGCAGAGGAAGCTGAAAGTTGAGATCACCTTGTTACCGTCTCGGGCTCTGTGATTTACAGGGCAGGGCTAAGTGTGCAGGCCGAGTCAGCTCAACCGTTGGCACTCGCCTTGGTAAACTAGGGGCATCATGCCCCAGGGGAGCTGTTTTCTTTAAAAATTATATAAAGCCTGCAAGTTTTCCTTTCCAGAGCTCAATGACTAGAAGAAAGGTGTCCATTCCACACCCTCAGCGTCTAGCATGGTGGTTTACACAGGTGGCGACTCTGAAATTAAGACATCGAAATGCAACTGAATGGCAAGGGAGGAGGGCGGAGAGGTCACCACAAACACATAATGCGAACACGCATCACTTAGTGCCATTTGTCCCGACTAAGTGAAGGCAGGGGTGTGAGCGTCTCTAGCTGCAGACATCACACTCTCAGAGAACACACAAAAACATAAAGCCGGGCCGAGCAAAGCTACACTGGGCGGCGGCAGCAGTGAGGGCCGGCGGCAGCTCAGCGTACCACTGCTGCAGGCCGCAGCAACACCACAGCATCAAGGACAACCCAGCCAGTCTCTCTGGTACACCCACGAGACCCTCCCCGGCTTTGCCTTAGTTTTCACGTTGGTTTTGTTCGGTTGTCTTTCTGTTTTCTGAAAGGATATAGACAACCCAAACTCATTACTGCCGAGCCCACTCGGCTCCCCCGAAGGAACCCTGTAGGACAGACTGGAACTGCCTCACCAGGTTTCCAAGGCTGTAAACCTTTCCGCAAGCAGACTGTCGCATCTTGTGCCCATGGAGTCAGAGGTGGGCTCGAACTGCTGACCTTTGGGCTAGCAGCCAAGTGCTTCACCACCTGGGCTCATTAGACAGACGACGCCTGGGAAAATCTAAGATACAAATTTTAGCCCCTTTTAAATGTGCGAACAGTCTTTCCATGGGAGAACCCGTATTGAGACTGCTGGTGTATCTTGGGGCTTTGAGTGTTGCTCACGCAAACAGAGTTGGCTGCAGGTGGGCAACACGACGCCCCGACAAGGCAGACGACACCTGTCCCCCCTGCAGCAAATGTATTGCTGGTGTTTCCTTGTAGGCCTCAGCAACTGCCACGTGCTCGATGATTTAGAAAAGAATAATAATTGTTTTTGCGAGGCCATTCTGTGAAACCGACTACAATTCACAAACAGCTTTCTGGAAACTGGGAGCCAAACAGCACCTAGTTTGGGCTTCTGGGGTAGATCCAACGCCTACCTATTCGAGTATTGGCAAATACATCTGCTAGAGACCCACTGGTTCCTTTGACCTCTCCGTGGGACAGCGTAGAAGATGCGGAGGAAGAAGTGGACGATCCCTGAATTGAACGGTTGATCCAGGACTCAGCGTTCTGTAAGCTCTGCTGCAAGGCAGCAGAGAGCGCGGCTTGGCGTCTCAGAGAGCCCTCATCCTCAGAGGCCGAAGACGTGTCTGTGTGGAATTAGAAAAAAAGAAGTTCTCGATCCTGCCTGGAACAGAGACCCTGCAGCTCGGGCAAGTGGGCCACACACTCAGTTTGGACACCAGCAAAACATTCAAATCGTTGAAGTAGGAGAGGGCAAACTCGCATCAGACTCTAATCCTCAGGCAGCTCTACGTTGTATAAAAACAATCTTTTGAGAACACTTTCACGTCACTCATCGTTATCTGGTGTGTGCCCAAACAGTATCTAAAGACTTCCGATTTGGCTGACTTTATTTCCAAATAATAGTGAGGGGCTTACAGATCTTCCCTGTTCTCTTTATTAAAGAACCCCGAGAGAGCTTGCTACGCTGATTTTGGACAAGTACTTATTCATGAATCCCTACTTAAAAGGAAATTATCTTGACAGAGGGATGCAAAAAAAACAACCACCTCTTCTTTTTGTTCACAATGTACCGTATAGACTCGAGTATAAGCTGACGCAAATATCAGCCAAGGCACCTAATTTTACCACAACTGCATAAAAAATGTGCTGGAAAACTCGGCTTATACCTGAGTATATACGGTATGTGCCAAATCGTGGGCCGCTCGGAGGTGCTGGAGGAGTTACGGGGGACTACATCACTGTCCCTGGGCTGGACACACTCTTGCTGCAAGTGGGAAGGCCAGCTGACCACCTGGCACAGGCCAGCTTTCCTCACAGGATGATGGGGGTCAAGCCCAGTGCCTGCACTTCTCCCTAATTCTCACTCAAGGGAGCTGTGGTTTGTATTTAGCCTGGCTCAACCTTCAAGAAAATAAGGTCTGAATTAGAAAAGTGCGTGTGTGTGTGCGCGCGCGCGCTGGGTGGGTGGGGTAATCCAACCAAATTCAGGATAGAGAGGGAAGTGGAAGTCAGAAATGTATTCTAGGGCTTGGCGTTTCTGCGGCCTCCAAGTTAAAGAAGGCATCTGGGGCCACAGAGGATGCAAACTCACTGCCGCGGAGTTGATGCTGACCCTACAGGGCAGGATGAACAGCCGCTGTGCGTTTCTGAAATTGTAACTACGGAGTAGAAAGCTTCTTCCTTCTCCCGAAGAGTGGCTGGTGGTTTCGAACTGCTGATCTCCCATTATGTAACCTGCTATTCCACCATGGATCCTTTTTAATATAGGACAAGCCCTTTGAAAAAATGTCTTGTTTTGGTTTTGGGGTGTGCGTGCTATAATTTATGATGGATAGGTTGCATTTCATTTGATTTTTTTTTTTTAATGAAACATTCAGATGTTCATCCTGCAGAACATAGTGCTTCTAACTCATGTCAATGTGCCAAGGCCGTTTTTCAGTTGGGCTCAAGGAGGCAAAGATGGTAACTATGGGGCTGGAAAATGGCTCGCATTTGCCAATGGGAATTTGAGCCACAAGAAATGTCCAGAAGCCACACGATGCAGGCCCAGAGCCAAAGTGAAACGCTACAGTGAGGACCATATCCTGGCTTCCTGCTCGGTGCTCCCTCCAATTCGTTGTTTTCCACTGAAGGAGCTCTGCGCCCCAGGCTGACTGATTCTCTAACGCTGATTTGCTGTTTCATTTATTTCAATGTTCTACTTAACACAATGTGTGCCGGGAATCATGTCCGGTCCTAGGAGGCTGAGCGGTATGGGACTCTGTGAGATCGTTACGAGCCCTATAAGGGGTAGCAGGCTAGTCCAGGGAACACACAATTACATGCACTACTTTGCATGGATACAAAGGATGCTGGGAAATGGGGTCCCCAAGGCTTTCACAGGACAGGCACTGATTTCAGTCAGATTTGCCAGGAGGAGTGAGCATGATGAATTCGTGGCATTTCAACAAGTCCCTTGCCAAGGAAACCAAGAGCCTGAGGAGGTAAAGGCCAACAGAGGCGGCAGAAGGGGGCGCAGGAATCGGGACATGCGAAACTCCAGAGGGGGAAGCGAGTCACAAGCAAAGGGAGGTGATTACAGGAAGGTGGAGAGAGATAACGGTAAAAGCATCTGCACCTCTTTACTTAAGGAAAATGTTTTACATACTTTCCAAAAATATCCCAACATTTGCCCTGTGCCTCAGGAAGCAGAGTTTGGTCTTTGGAAAGATGCTAGAAAAATGGGCTGGGGTGGGAGCTCGCAAGACAGGCAACTGTGCCTTAAAGAACAGAGCTCTGTTCAGAGTGGCACGCTGTTGTGAAGTGTCATCGAGTTGATTCCGACCCCTAGCGGCCCTGACACAGCATCCGGCTCTGGGCCACCACACAAAGGTTAGTGCTCTCCGACCTGAGGGGCCATCCCACGGCACTGTCTCCCACAATGCTCTGCTTCCGGCCACTGGGCCTTCAGTAGCTGACAACAAAAGTTTGGAACCTAAGCATGAGGTTTTCAGTGGCCACATCCTCCGAAGTGGGCAGCCGATTCCTTCTTTGCTGTCTGTTCTTAGTCTGGAAGCTCTCTGAAACCTGTCCACCTTGGGTGACCCCGCTGGCATTTGAAATGCTAGTGACCTAGTTTCCAGCATCACAGCAACACGCAAGCCACCACAGCACAGCACACCGATGGACAAGCGGTGGCAGGGTAGCATCTCTCGCTGGATGTGTAGGCTGCCTTTATTGCGCCCTTGATTTTAATTTGTGTACGTCTAAAATCACAGTAACCTAATTTTTGAAAGATAGTGAAGCCAGCAATTGGGTTTATGGGAAATTGGCTTCATTGTGCTTCTACATTGGATCAATTACGTAATCAGGGAGATTGTTTCAATTCACTTAGCTAATGCGCCGCCAGCCCTTCTCAGCGTGTTGAATGGCGCACAATGCTGGAGCAGCTTTGTGTAAAAGAAAAACTACGGCTTGGGTATCAGGCTTTTATTCGAACCGTAGGGCCCACTACGAACTAGCTGTGTGACTTGGGAGGTAGATTTACCCAATTGCGAGAGCTGTTGTGTGTTCATTCCAACCCGCAGGTGTGCACACTGCAGCACCGGAGAGGAAGAAGGCTGAACACTGGTCCTGGGTGAGGCTCATAGGACACTGCCCCGAGACGCTTTTAAAGAAGAGCTCAGGGCAGGCGCCCAGAAAGTGAGACCTACACCAAGGCCTGATTCATAGGGAGGATTAGCCATGAGGGGACAGAGAGGCGGGGAGCAGTCAGGCCAAGGGAACAGCATGTGAGAATGCTCACAGGTGACAGAAAACAAGGCACATTAGGAGATATAAAAAGCTGAGACCAATTGAAGTACAGGATGCAAAACTGGTAGTGATGAAAGAAGAGGCTGGACAAGTGGACAGAGCCGGGCCTTTGTAAGACATGCTGAGGAAACACACGGGAGACCATGCAATAAGGTAACGGAGGGAAGCGTCCCCAACAGTGCCACCACGCAGAAGCTGGCCAGCCAGCCTTAGCTTCCTTCCTCTTCCCCAGCACAACAGTAGGGAAAGTGGGTTTTGATTTGTAACTCCACTTGAAGTTTTCACTAGCAAGCATTTAAGTGGCTGGTCCTTTTCCTACAAACAGAAAGGGAAGAAGGATGGCCAATGGACCACAGGCTGGTAGGATAAAAACTGCGCCAATCACATCACCCGAGACAGTGAAGTTTTTAGACACACAATGGCAACTGGGTGGGGCTTAACGCTGGTCCTGTCACTGCCCCGAGACTCTTTTAAAAAATAGAAACCAGTGCCCGTCGCCTACAAAACTGCTATGGATTTGTAGAAATCTAGGCAAGATTAAGTCACCAGTAATAGGAACAGCACGATCATTTCCTCCTAGGGCTCAGCAGGAACTCATCACCCTTAAACCATTGTAACTGAGATCTCTTCCCAAGTTTTTGAGTGCGAGGAGCACAAGATGTCTACACAGTAGACAATTTTTAAAATAAATCTTGCCCTTCAGTTTATAATTTAGTGATTTCTTTCACACAGCATCACTTCGTTCTAGTCACCAGCAGCTTAATATTCATTTGTCACCAAGTAGGAGACGTAAACAATTCGCGTGTTGATTTTGAGAGAGGACAATTCTGGAGTCCACTACCCAGTCTTTCACTTCGGCCGCACCGTGAATCTTTGGGTGTGGGAACGACTCTCCTCTTCCTCGCACAAACTATTATCATAACCAGAATGTTTATTTAGAAAAACTACACACCTACCACATGGCCATCTCCACTCCCAGGTGCTTATACGAGAGCAATGCAAGCGCACGCCCTGCAGAGATGTGCACGAGTGTTCATGGGAGCTTTACTTGTGTCGCTGAAGACTGGACATCCATCAACGAGTGAACGAACAGAGTACAGTACTGCCACACATGGAACATTACTCAGCAATAACAAGAAAGGAATCACTTGGAGAAAGAGAAAGTAGGTGAGGGGCTACCAGAGGCTGGGGAACTATTGCTTAATGAGTACAGAGTTTGTGTGTGGGATGGAGGGTTCTGGAAATAGACTGCGGTGGTGGTTGTGTCAGGCTGTGTGTTTAAATGATGCCATGCATCTGACACTTGAAAATGGTGAGAATGCACATTTCATGTGATATGTGTGTAACATTAAGTAGATATTTAATAGCAATGCTTTGCTTTTTAAAAGGAAGGAAAACACTGATACAGCAACATGAATGAATCACAAAATAATTATACAGAGTGAAAGAAGCTAGGCACATACACAAGCCAAGCTGTCTTATTTATGAAAACTTCCAGAAAAATGCAAACCAAATGGACAGTGACAGAAAACAGCAGTGGTTTCCTGGGGCTAGGGGTGGGCAAAGGCTGGAGGGAGGGATTTTAAAGGAATTATGAACACACTTTGAAGGTGATGCATATGTTTGCTATCCTGATTGTAGTGAGAAGCCTAGCCCATGGGCCACTGCCATCAAGCTAATTCCGACTCACAGAGACCCAATGGAGTGTTTCTGAGGCTAAAAATCTTTACAGGAGCAGACAGCCTCTTCTTTCTCCTGAGGAGTAGCTGGTAGGTTTGAACCACTGCCCTTGTGACTGGCAGTCCAACACTTACCCAACAGTCCCACCAGG